TGTGGCCTACATTTCCTGCTACGGATATGGGTCATTGCCATCCCGAGTTCAGTTTGGCAGGCAGACCGATAGAAGGTCCGGTCATGCGGTTTATGATATGTATGCCAGACATCACTCAACTGTGCTATTCTCACAGGATTGCGCTCATCATCATTCCCTTGCTTGTTTCTGTAGCTTCTGTGGCTGCGACTGTTTCCGGCCATGGAGCTCCGTCTGCGCGTTGTACAGAAGGCATGAGTGGCGCCTTTGATATTCGATTATTTCGAAATTGAATCGTCAGCTGTGACCAGTATTTGTCAATCCCGATCGCTGCGGCACCTCGGACAACCTCACAAGACAGACTCCTCAGCCGCTTCCTCCAGCTATAAATGCCCTGAAGGACATGTGTTGCCACTGCCGCACTCATTGTGCGCTTTGCGAGGTCAGAATAGAAAAATGTGGCTCTGCTTCCAAGCTTGCCGAAAGAGCTGCCCTCGATCTCAAGGCCCGACTTTGCTTTGCACATGAAGCCGGGGATGGATCAGGAACCGTACAGACACATCAGCACCGTTTCGGCTCAAGCTCACAGGACAAGTCAGATGACCGGCTTGCTCGCCCGTTACAGTTAAAACTCACTTGCGAAGATGTCTGTGTCTGCACATCGCTTCTACGAAGAGGCCGGTTGTTGTTTCCAGCCGGGGTAAAGGGTCCTAAACCCGAAACCCTAAACCCTAAGCTCTAAACTAAACCCTTGTCGTTCTGTCCAGTCCCAACTCCGAGGTGTTAGGGTGTCCGCGCTACTTCGCTGCTCCCATGGCCTGGGTCTTACCTGATGTATTTTTTGATAAACTACATAACATAAATCATCAAGTATATGTTATGTATCATATGCAATATACTACATACTGTATATTTTATACTATAGGTTATGCATTATATGTTATATGTTGTGCAGGAGCCATAGCTTGACACCAGCATTGCCAAAAGTCTCCCGCCGTGTGGGGCACCGCAGCAGCTGGGGTTTCTATTCAGGGGCGCGCAGTCCTGTCGATCTGTGTTTTGGGATGCCTTTCCTTTGTCGCTCAGCTTGAGACCTCCTTCCGACCCGGTGCAGCCCCATGCTAAATCAGTAGCTCGCCGGAACGGGAAGGCTTGTGCAACTAATTTTGTGCTAGATGTAATCTTTGGTCTGCATTCTCGACTTGATGTTGTCGCCTCCCTCGGAACCCTACACAGTAGGCTTCTGAAATCGGTCCATGTTATGCTGCTAGACAAGACTCCGTCTTGCAGAGGCTCCTGTTTGTGAGGTCAAGCAAAGCGATTTGGCCTTCCGGCTCATGGCACGCAAGTGGGGAGCACCCGCCTCGGTGAACAACAGTATATGTGTCGAGGCGCATGTTTGGCGCCGTCACTGCACATGAGCGAGGCTCAATGCTGCTACACACCGATGCTCAAGAGCCAGCACTTCTTACAGGGCAACGACGAGGTGAGGGACTTTTTGCGCTTCCCGGCATGGTCCCGGAAGCAGCCAGCAGTTAGCCTAGAAGACAACGGCCTCTGTCAGACAGACAGCATTGGTAACGGCGAACATACCCTTTTGCAAGTTGCTTGAAGTTGCTTGGTTAACTTGCTGTGTTTCGTTTGCTCGGAAGATTTGGAAAGCAGGTCAGCCCGGGGGGAGGGGTAGGTTGACTGGGAATTGAATTTCACAAGCAGAGGATCGCCGCTATAGCACTCCATATTCTTAGATCGCGTTTCGCAGGAAATGGCAGAGTTTGCAACAGTGGCCGGGCTTGCCGACAGACCGCACCTGGGCAATATTCTAGTGAAGCAGTCTCTTTGCGTAGGTATGTGCCGCATTTTGGATGTAAATTTACGTACCTCATGAGGGACTCGTCCGAGGCTTGTCGTGCAGATTTGCGGGCGCTGTCCAGAGATTCTCTCCAAGATGGCACTGTTGCTGCACAGTCTGGCCCCTGGCGGCTTCGACGCCTTGGATTTGCTGCTGGACTCAGTTTTGAGGTAGCCAATGGTGGGAGGTTGTGGTATCACATTTTTGGTAGTGATACTTTTTGTTGACAAGCATCAAAGGACCTGTCGACAAAAAAAGTGTTCGCGTCTCTCACTGCTAGCTCGAAGCCCTGAACCCCAGTTGCAGACTGGACCTTGCTCTCAACCAATTGTATTATGGTTTATTGCAATATGTTATATTATAGCATAGTTTGTTCAATTCTGGAATATTATAGTATGTTATGTTGCAGTTTTTTGCTATATTATATTATATCCTGTATATCATAGACCCTAGATTAGGCTCGGGCTTGACTCAATACAGTGCAGGGCTCACCAGTAATTCATCAGCACTGAAGATGGCATGGCATGGACTATGGATCTGTATAGACTAACAAAAAGCTCATGCTAATGACGACAGAGACAGTATGCAATCGACGAAATTGTATTATTGCTGTCGCGAGTTATGTAGACTGGCGTGGCTAAGCCTGGCCGACACCCGCACTTGCACCGCACACTCCCTTTGCAACCAAGGAACTTAGGCTGCCCTATGGAGAATGCGGAATCTGAAGGCCAGGCGGAAAAGCACAGCACGCTGATGAGAAACTTTTGCTTCAGCATGCTGGCCCTTGACATTGGAGGCTACGGTGCCTTCATGGTTGAAGATGAGCCAGGGGTCCACAATGCCTGCAGCTGTGTCCAAGCCCTTGTTGCGGTTCAGCCTCTTCCGGTATTCTGCAAGATCCGCATTCTCCCATCTGTTCAGGAGCGGATGCAAGGCACTTGAAACCGTAGGCCCCGTATACTCTACCGCTCCGGCCTGATGCGGACTACCGCAGCACTCCCGAAGCCTAAATCCTAAACCCCAAGTTTTTTGTACTGAAATCCTATACCCTAAACCCTAAATCCTAAAGTGTAACGTGTAATTAAACTTTCAGGACACTCTTCGACTTGCAAAGCGCTTGCAAGATGCCGGCTGCTCTCTGCTCACAGTCCACGGTCGGGTGAGGGCTGCAAAGGGGAGTGGCCCCGTGGACCTGGAGGCAATTGCTGCAGTGAGGTGGCTCAGAAGATATTTATGATTGACAGCAGGAATTTATTGAGGCAGATGCTTCAGAGACCAACAGTCATGAGGATGATGATGGTGATGATGGTGGCGATAGTGATGGTGATGATGATGGCGATGAAGGTATTGATGAAACTAGCAGTGATGATGGCGTAGGTTATAACCAGTCAGAGTTTTCGAAGCATGAGTGGGGCGAGCATGTATCTCATATTGCAGTTAGAGCATCCAACAGTCTAAGCCCTACATACTCAAGAACTTCATTTCAACAGAGCGGCGGAGCCACACACACAGCAAGGCGCGGGAGACCTTAGTGCTTTAGTGTGGCCTTGCTAGGACTTTGGAGACTTCGAGGGGGTTGAAGACCAAAGTGAGCGCGACACTTTGATGGCAACGCGGCGTCCATGCCAAGACTAAATGCACCAAAATACTCGCGGCACTGTGGTGAGATCGCGATGCATCAAGTTCGGGAGCACCAAATCCACGAATTTACGATGAACGCGACATGGTTGGCAGACCTGGCCAGCAACGGACTGTGGAAAGAGAGCGGTTTTCGTCCAACATGTGCACCGAGTTTTTGCCATGCTGTGCGGGAATCCCTAAAACCCTAAAGCCTGAACCCTAAACATGCCTCACATGTGGAGCTGAGGTCTGCTGTTAGCATCCCGGTGGTTGCAAACGGTGGCGTCCGCACCAGAGAGGAAGCTGACCGGATGCTGCAGAAGACGGGCTGCCATGGTGTCATGGTGGCGACAGCCCTCCTGATCAACCCGAGACTCTTTGCAGAGCCCCCGTGCGAAAGACTTACGATCGGCAGGGCCATCTCGGTCGCGCTGGAGTACCTCCAGTTTGCGGAGCTTCATCCGCCAAGGCCCATTGTGCTCAGGAAGCATTTCTGGCACCTCAGCTGCCGAAGACTACTGTACCTTCTCAATCAGATCCGACCTGACGTTCTGAGATGGATCCGAGGTACTTCTTTCGCAATGTTCTCCTGAGCATCTTGGATACAAGCGCATGGTGCAGTGTCAACAAATTCCACTGTCCACCTCGCAGCGAGTGTAGACAAGCCGAACTTATCTTAGAATGCAAGCGATATTTCGGCATAAGAAGGAAATGGAGAGGAAGAAGATGCGCTGGCCATAGTGCGCGGAGACAAGATGTCTCCGTGTTTGCTGGGCACCGAGCGGCACAAGTTTTACACCTTTATGAAGCTTGGTCTGCATTCGTAGCATGATCCGCGGCATGTTTTTCTGGCAGCTTGAGCATGTTTTTCTTGAGGAATCAGCCCTTCCTGTGCTCGATAAGCCAGTTCCGGGCAACGTTGCGGCTCATGGCCCACAAACTCGACGTGGAGCCTGCCCCTCAGAGTCTCATGGCCCCAGATGGTCCGAATCTCCGAGCTCGGAGGCCCTGGGTGAAGTCCCTCGTGGAGTCCCTGGCCTCGACGATGCCTTTGCTAAGCATGGCGGAGATACGCCACCTCGGCGTGGAAGTGAGCCTTGTCCGAAACGAGACGGGCCCGGTGACTCTGCCCAGACTCCCGAATCCGAAAGCATGCCTGCTCTGGTCAGGAAGATGTGTTGCTCAGAGGACACGCCAAGTTTGTTTCGTTGCTTCTCGGATGCGCCTGCCTGCTTCTTCTTCGCAGGACTGGGAGGCGGATTTCAGCCTCTGGGATTGAACTGCTGTTGGACAGCCGCCCCATTGATGTAACTCCAGGCCCGGCCTAGCCAAAGAGAGGGAGAAAGGCTGTGTTTCCGGTGTCTTCCTGGCCGAAGCTGCTTACCGCGCACATCGAAGTCTTAACCGCCTCCATCGAGCCACGGCCTTCCATCTGATCGTGCTGCGATGCAGATCACACAGGGAGCTGGTCCAACTAGCGGCTCGGATGTCCGCGATTTGACGAGGAAGCTGCTCCACTCTGGATGTCCAGTGGCAACTTCAAGCTGTGATGTCGATGCTGTTGATCCAGTTCGGTTTCTTCTCGCATGAAGATGATCGGCCACGAGCTGCTAGCGCGGCCTTTCTGGAATGTTGTTGTAACCCACGGCTTGAATCGATCGCCGCAAACTGGGAAAAATACGGCCCGGCAGTGTTCGGGTATTTGGAAGCACAGAAGAAGAATAGTTGTATTGATAAAAATCATGATTATGATTCATGGTTATTATTGTGAGTACGACCCCTGAGTTTTCTTCATCATGTTTTTCTGATTATAAGAACAAGCATTATTATAATTAGTTATTGTGATGTATCAGTCATCATATGTTTATTTACTTGCTACTGTTACTACCATCACCATCATTGGTGTTGTTGCTATTCTCATTATGTGTATGCCTATGCTTATGTTTCTGTTTATGATTATGATTACCGTGATAATGATAACGATGACGAGTACTAGTACTACTACTACTACTACTACTACTACTACTACTACTACTACTATACATTGCGTTGCTGGTATGCTGGTAGTTTGTGGTGAGCCTGTCAGGTTCGCGGAAACCTGAGTGGTTTCATCCGGCTACGTGTGGCCAGTGGCTTAGAAGCTCGAGCGACTCCTGCTGGCGGCAAGCTTGGCGAGAAGGAGCCGGATCCATTTGTAGTGTCTAAGGCAATTCACACGAAGCGGGCAGTGATGGAGATCGCAGGTGAGAAAGGCTCAGCGAAGGCTCTTCGACATGATACAGGTCAAACCTTGGATTCAACAGGGAACCTGCAATCTGCAAGTCCCACCAAGCCCTCAATCGTAAACACTAAAACAGAAGTTCTCAATCGTGAATCCAAAGTCCCCGCAGGCCGAGCTTACACCCTAACCCTTCATACTCTAAACCTGACAGGTACAGCTCTTCCCTTCGGAGATTGGAACTTCTGAGGATGCTACCTTGGTCTGGGCCCAATTGGCGTCCATCCAGATCAATACTAAAATATATATGTATATGTATATGTAAATATATGCATGGTTATATACATGTATTTATATCTAAATACACATAGGTATACACATGCTTGCATTCGCATTATATATGATATACACATACAGATACTACTACACATGCACATACACATACATATACACGTGCAAATAGCATATATATATATATATATATACACATATGCATATAAACAATCAAATTACATTAAGCGACAAAAAACAAATAGCCAGTCTCAGTATCCAAGGAGTAAGTGCAAATATGAAACTAATATGAATGTAACTACGGTAATCAATGTAATAACATTCTTGTATGTATGTATGTATGTATATATATATATAAATATGTATGTGTATTTATATATATATATATATATGTATGTATGTATGTATATATGTATATGTGTATATATATATATATACACGTATATGTATATGTATATGTATATATATGTATATATAAGTCTAAATGTAAATATGCTTTTCGGGTGTAATTAGATGACGCTACTGCTACCATGTATGGTCTCCTGTTGGATTACAGAAGCTCTGGAACTGCCTTGATTGCTGCAGTAGCTGGTGCTGCGAGGCAATGAACCTCATTGCCGTAGTTCCAGTGGGCCCGCAGGCATGTGAACTGGGCATCGCATGTCAGTTGGCATTGTGCACAGGGTTCTGTGTATCAAAATCTGAGCTGGTTCAGGATGACTTTTTAGGCAACAAAGCGCAGATAGTACCAACAGGGCTCATTAGGCACGCATCTCCAGCATCTCTGCCCTACCTCACCCAGTGGCAGTAGCAAAGTACAAGCAGCAGCATCAGCAGCTGCAGCAGCAGCAGTAGCAGCAGCAGTAGCAGTGGCTGTAGCAGTAGCAGTAGCAGCAGCAGTAGCAGCAGCAATAGCAGTGGCTGCAGCAGTAGCAGTAGCACAGCAGCAGCGGGAGCAGGAGCAGTAGTAGCAGTAGCAGTAGCAGGGGCAGGAGCAGGAGCAGGAGCAGGAGCAGGAGCAGTGGCAGTGGCAGTAGCTGTAGCAGTAGCTGGAGCAGGAACAGTACCATAGCAGCAGCAGCAGCCGCAGCGGCAGCGGCAGCAGCAGCAGCAGCAGCAGCAGCAGGAGCAGGAGCAGGAGCAGGAGCGGGAGCGGGAGCTGAGCAGCAGCAGCAGCAGCCACAGCAGCAACAGCAGCTGCAGCCGCAGCATCGGCACTAGAAGCTCGTCGTAGTCGTCGTCATCATCGTCATGCTGTCAGTAGAAGTAGTCGTCCTGGTGTGGTATGAAGAAGAGGAGGCACAGCACTGGCAGCAGAGTTGGTAGCAGCAGCATCAGGGATAGATGTAGCAGTAGGAGGTTGTTGCCATTGGATATTCTTGCTTGGGGATGCTGCAGTGCAGATTTCCGGTGGAACTACCTGGCTTCTTCAGTCCTAGCCCGTCAGACGTAAGAACAACCCTACCAATGACTTTGACTTTGGAAAGTTCAACATTGCATCGAAGCTCTAATTACCCTTCGTCCCTTGAAACAGGGAGCTGAATGGGCCTCCAAAGTGGAGAGGCCTGGTCGTTGCTCGCACGGCAGCTGCCCTTGTCTCTCGCAGGGGAGGGTGTAATAGGATGGTATATTATGTTGCATTATAGTATTTTCGCATGTTGTAGTAGATTCTCGTAAACTATGCTAGATTATAGTATACAATAGCAGATTATAGTAAATCATAGCCACTCACTATGGTTGCTACCAGTACTAGGACTTGCAGCTCAGACCGCCTGTTTGCAAGGATTTTGCAACCTGTTTGCACTTGCATTCGTTCTGTTGATCCTGCAAACAAGCCCCAACAATCCCTGCCGAGTATGATGTGCAAAACCCGAAATCCTAAACCTCAAACCCTAAACCGTAGTGCGACACAGGCAAACAAGAGCGGCGACTGGTGTGGAGGGTTGGATCCTGGCTTGTCAGGGCCTCACTGTGTGGTAAGGTGCCAGTCGTTTGAGAGGAAGTCTGAGGTTTGCTCTGAAATACTGACTTTACTGTAAGCCCCTTGCTGGCACTGACTTTAAAGTGGTGGAATATGTGGAGCTTCGAGTTAGGGGTGTTTGTTGAGGGATGTCTTGCCAGCTTCTTTCGTCTGCAGAGGCCCTTCGGACAAATCACACAATGTGCTGGAAAAGATCACCGATGCCGGTGGGGTTCGATCAGGCCATTCTCCACGGCTTTGCCCTCTTGTGATGCGGCATCCCTGCTATTCAGACATGGTGAGTGTTGCTGCAATGCATTTGAGCTCCTGTCCCTGCGGCAGGTATTCAAGCCCAGTATCACTTGTTTCTTCAGGCGGCATCGGGTTGGGTGCGATCCTGCCGGCTTCGTTGTGTGTCTAGTTGCGCACCAGACCTTCGTTACAATATTATATTCCCTAAACCCTAAACCCAATACCACATGTGCTTTGCTGTCGCTCATGCTGCAATCAGGGGAAGCACGGTTTGGGTGCCTTTGGCTTTGTGGCCCTGGCCTCAGCAAGAAATCTGCACAGAATTCTGCCTGGGCTTGTTCCTGTGAGGTTTGCGCTTCCGAGCAGCTCTCCGACAAGATAGTTGCCGTGAAGAGCATCAAGCTGCAGGACAGGGAAGGGAAAGGAGCAGCTAGAGCTGTGAAGGAGTACGGGTGTTGCTGATGCTGTCGTTGCTTGGGCATGGCCGCCTTCTAAATATAACAACACTTGCTTTTGAAGTGCTCCTTGGTTGATTTAGCGTGTGTTGTGGGTGGTGCGGTGGAGGGTGTATGCTGTATGCTTGGTGCTGCGGGCAACAGCCGGACGCTCTTCTCGAGCTGCAGTCAGCAGCACCGCTCTAAACAGAGCTGCCAGGTGGACCCGCAGGTGATTTTCAACGAAGTGCTGGCCTCAGGAGCTCAGAAGTAGCCTCAAAGATTGAGCGAACCTAAGCCATCATGAGATCATGGGAGGTTGCAATGTTGAGGGCGGCGCCCGGGGCCTCAGACAACGTTCCGGACGAAACCTTGAGCTTACTCCGAAACCTCACGCCCCTACCGGTGTCTTCGACCATCTCGGCCCCGGTGCTAAGGCAAGGCCATCCCAACATCGTTCGATTCCGTGGCCTGTGGGCAGATCCGACATCGGCTGAGCAGTCTAAGGCAGGTTAGAAAGGGGCCATCATGTTCCATCACGGACTCTGTAGTCGATTGAGTCTGTCAGGGCGGCAGGCAGTGGTACATGGTCATGGACTACTTCAAGGGCGACTTGCGGCTTGGATGTCACTGAATCTGTTTTTGTATAGCTTTTTGTCGCACAAACAGAGTCGAGTCTAGCCTAGTTTAGTATAGTATCGTATAGCAAAGGCAGTAGTAGTACAGTATTGAGCTTGCCAGGGTATAGCATAGAGGGCCGAGCGGCTCGTCGTCCGTAGTCCTTCTGAGGTACGATCGAATCGTGGAGGGCAGAAGGCTCCGAGAGAAGGACCGAGACTTGCTCCCGGTTCGAAGGTTTAGGGTTTCGGGTTGAGGGTTTGGGGTATTGGCTTTAGACAAATGTGCTCGGAAAGACGACTCTGCATTCGACCTGAAGGAATGCGTTCCAATCCTTCACAGTGTGCTCGCGTCGATTCCACCTCAGGTTTCAAGCGAATGCCCTTGTCATACCGAGTATGCACAAACCATGCAATTGTTCAAGCTTGCATGGCCGAGGATAACTTTCCTTCACAAGCGAGGTATTTTCCACAGGCGCGTGCCTTGCATGTGACGAATTGCTAACCCGGGTTGTGTGGGTCTGCGATGGCATGTAACCTCGTTGTGCATGGATTTGTACAACGACTTCAAACATGTGGAGAGCACAGAAGCATTGAAGAGCTTTTCTCAGCAGAGCTCGTCGTATCTCATGCATGATATCAAAGTGTGCACTCGGATGCACAGATGGGTAGCTTAGCTTTCCTGCCGCCGACACGCAAGTTTGGACAGAAAGACAAGGCAATGTCGAGCAGCACACATCTCTGCAGCTAGGTCTAGCAGGATAATGCAAGCCGTTTACACGCGAGGATGTTCGCTGTGTCAGTGTTTGCTGCGAGGGTTCTAGGGTGCTGCACAACACGTGAAAGAAGCATCTGCTCGTATTCCGCTAAGATGACTTCACACCTTACTGAATCAAGGAGCCAACACATCCTCGTACAACTGACATGTAGGAAAGTCGGCCGACCTCTGGAAGACAAATCAGGTTGCAGCATGGGAGATGTGCTGCCAAATGTGCCGTTTGGCGTGCGTACGCCGTAAATGTGTATGAGTGCATCTGTCTATCTCTCTCTCTCTCTCATGTGTGTGTGTATGTATTTATGCACGTATGTATTTATTTGTCTGTCTGTCCATCTGTCTGCTGTTTGTCTATGTCTCTACCTGTCTGTCAGTCTGGCTGCCTACCTGCCTGCTTGCCCGGCTGTCAGTCAGTCACTCAGTCAGTCAGTCAGTCAGTCAGTCAGTCAGTCTGTCTGTCTGTCTGTCTGTCTGTCTGTCTGTCTGTCTGTCTGTCTGTCTTTCTGTGTATCTGTCTATTCGTCTATCTGTCTGTTTGTCTATCCATACCAATCTACCAATCTACCTATCTCCCTGTTCACCTATCTTAATGATTCTATCTATTGTCTATCCACCTATCTATCTCTCTCTCTCTATCTATCTATCTATCTATCTGTCTATCTATCTATCTATCTATCTACCTACCTATCGATGTATCTATCTACCTGTCTATCTCTCGGTGTACCTATCTAGTCTTACCTCGTCTAACCTAACCGAATCCAATCGAATTTGGTCTAATCTGATCTAAGCTATCAATATCCTCCCATCTTTCTGTATATGTGCGTGTCTCTGTACCAAAGCGATACCCTGCGGAGGCACCGGACAGGGTGAGCACATGCGCTGGAAAACATACAACTTCCATCGTTATCGATTTCAATTGAACCCGGGCGCCGCCGCATCTCTGGAGCATGGCTGTTGCCAGTGCTTCCGTGCCATATTCACCGCTGCTGAGTCGAATTTTCGTCGGAGATGGAAGACGGACGCATGTGCAGCAAGCGCTGCTCGAATGCAGGGACATCAAGCCCGAGAATCTGCTTATTGAGACGGCTGCAAAAGTTGTCGGTGCCTGAGCTGGCACAGCGCAGCAAAGTTTCGTCCGACACCGGCAACCCTCCAAGAAAGAAGAACCTGCTAGTTCCAGGTCTTGACAGATTTCGGGATTGCGTGCCTGGTCACGAACGAGGCCGAGTTGAAGCGCAAGGTGGCAGCCTTAGGCTCCGCTACATCTACTCCTACAGCGAACACTGCCACTGCACGATGAGAAAGATGCCGGCTACTAGCTCGTAGCGGTTCGACACGGTAGCAGGTGGCAGCCGCCCACAGCATAACTGCAGCGCCCATGTTCTTGTTGTTGATTGTATTGTCGATGGTCGGGGGTTGCGTTGGGCCGCTGTGAGGTTGGAACAGTCGGCTATGCTGCACCCGAGATGTTGGCGGGCATGGCAACCGGTTTTGAAGGTGACGCAGCTTGGCTGTCCACAGTAATGTTGTCCCACAACAATATGCGACAATCTACGATAATGAACGAGAATGTACGATAATATACGATACGATACTCGAACTTACTATCGGTAGGATTCACCTACTATCCACAAACTTCAATGTCAAGTTTTGGCGGTGCCCATCTGCAATGCCACGATATCCGAGGAGTTCGGAGCAGGTATCGTGCTGTACTTCATGCTCTCGAAGTCCACGCCCTTCCTGGCGCCCACGCCCGCCATGACCATCGAGAAAACGATGGAAGGGAAGGCCGCAATGGTCTACACTTAATTGCAGTGGTAGCCATGCTAGTAAGAAAAGCATGTTTATTCTTAGTGTTCATCCCGCTGTTCTGATTATTGCTTACTGTGACTATGCTGGTAATGATGTTGCCAATGTTATTCTTCATCCTTTCCACGTTACGGGTGTTTCCGGCGATGTGTTGACAAGGATCCTTTTGGCGCCTCTTTTCTGGACCTCTCGCTTGATTTGCCCTTGCACCGGCTTGAGCTCGCATGACAGGTGAACATGGCCTATCAGTGCTTTGACCACATCAGTGAGAACTGCCGCAACATGATCAACGGTCTTGTCTGCAAGGATTCGTGGTGGCTGGGTTTAGGAGTTCGAGATTTCGTGAAGCCTTTTCCCACCAGCTCGTCAGGACGTTGCCACACGCATCAAAGCACATGATGCTCTGAAGACGACCTTCTTGCCACGGCCCAAGCGCTCGCTTCGCGAAGCCAGCCCTGAACCCTAAAACCTATGAGCCGCGAGTCGTTGAAGCCGAAGCCCTGAACGCTAAAGAGCCTAGATTTAGGGGTTTAGGGTTTAGGGGTTTAGGGGTTTAGGGGTTGAAGGGTTTAGCGTTTAGGAGTTAGGGTTGAAAAAAGGGTAACTATGCTTTTCACTAGTTTAATCCCCAATGAAGGATCCTTCAAGTAAAGCCTGAACCCTAGACTCTCTAGACCTTAGCACGGTTCCAGCGGAGCCTTGCTGCAGGGCGGCGCGTGCAAGCTTGACCGAGCCTGTTCTGGACTGTCATGGCCTGAGCAGTCTGCAACTATTTATACAGATAATACATACAGCACTCGTATATGCTATAATACTATGTTATCTTACACGCTTTAGTTTTATAGTGTGTATATATATATATAGACATGGTACTGATTGTCATTATCGTTATAGGAAGATAAGTATCAGCGCAGTAACAGCAATAAGACTAAGAAGAATCATAGTACCAGTAAAGCTTCGTCTTCACGTGATCGGGATTGGGCTGCTTCTGAGTGGCAGCGGTAAAGCTCGATGCCTGTGCCGCTGCAGGCTCTGTCATGTTGAAGCCAAAGGGGTCGCCCTGGCATCCTTGCTCGCTGGTGCCAGTGGAACCACAGAGTGGTCGGCTGTAATGCTTGGAAGTTAAAGGCTGAAGCCTGTGCCTCAGGAGTTTGGCCGCAGTGTTCGTCTTCTTGACAGTCAGTCGTGGCTTGCGGTTTGGAGTGAACTATGTGGCAGACTTCAGGGAGACATGAAGGCTAGGGCAAAACAGATGTTGTGCTCTTTGATCCTGGCAGGTCCAACCAGGGAAGCCTTTTTACCATCGCCGAGAAAGCAGACAAAATGGGGCCATGGCCTCAGTGACACAGAGACTAGCTGACTAGCATTCTAAACGGTAGACCTTAAATTAAACCCTGGCTTTACTGTCTCTCGTTGTGACTGCAGAGTCTCTGTGCGAAAGATCTGCTGCGGCAGGAAGGGCTCGCGGAGTGCAGTAAACTCGAACCGATAGTCGTACAAACGAGACCTGGATGCGGCCTCGCACATCGGACTTCGAGGTCAACAACCCAGGGCAACCTACCTGCAATGCGCCAGCTGTGACACAAGTGATGCAGCACAGCTTTCTTTTTGCGAGGGGTCGCGGTTTCCAAACCCCCAAGTTTCACCAACTATGCGGCTCCAGATGTTAGCTTTATAAACTGGTGCCAGAAATTCTCGAACATCCACCCCGCTGCATTGACAAAAACACACAGCCGGATCAGCTCGCCTGCAGTTTTGTGTCTTTGGCTCTTATCCTCCCTTCTCTTATTTGCCGTCTTTCGCACCGGGTGGGGGTGGCTTGCGACTCAGCCCTGAAAGCTTTCAGCTTTGCTTTGATCCAGTGGAGGCTCTGAGGTCTGCTTCAAAGTTGCTGGGTGAGTAGCAGAGCGATGGTCGCCATGTCTGGGCAAGCAGGGCCATGCAGAAGGCTCGAGACTCTGCAGCTGCTGGCTTCGGGATGTTTTCACTGAGTCTGGGTTTCAGCCTCATGCGACTTCACTCGCATGTGATGTTGGGAGTAGTGAAAATCCCGGCTGGGCGCTTGCAGCCTTGGCTCAAAAGCTTTACTCTTCCTGGTGACAGCCCTTTTAATGGCCGAGAAGGCCAGACTCCTCTTGATCGCGCTCCTGGCGCAACGTGCTTTTGCTGACGTCCTTCTTCCCGACGAGTGTGAAGCCGAAGATGACCAGGACAGCTGTAGTTTGGGCCTCCTGCAGAGCCGGGCAGCGGCGATTCCAAGCCTCCCTTGCGCTGCGGGGCAATCGCGGCCCAGTTCCGGGCATCCCTGCTTTCCTTGTGTGGCGGGCACCTACGGCACCTCGCTTGTCACAATTGTGGCTCAGGGTCGGCAGAAGTTTCATGGCACACAAACACTGAGCAAGTTAAAATTCCTGGACCTATCCAGAAGTGATCAAGCTTATTGTGCTTAATTGTTTTATGTTTTATTTATTACAATATGTCAATTATGTTATTCCCTATTATACTATATACTATATTTTGTGTTTCAGGTTATATCATATTATAGCATAATATGTTATATGATATGCTGTTACATAATATTATGCTATATTATAGTATGAGATTCTGTATGGCATTATGCTGTATCGTGTAATGTTATATTTTTGTATTATACTATATGATATGATATGATATGATACGACCTGGTTTGATATGATACTATATTGTACTATATTGTATTTGTATTGTCTTGTATTGCTGTCCATTGCATTCTCTGAGGCAAGGATGGCCTAGACTGCCGTGCTTGCCCCGCCGGCTCTTTCAGCTGGCAGCGTGGTGCCACCTCCGCAGAAACCTGTGAGACATGCCCTGCCGGAACCTGGAGCAGCCAGGTGGGGGGGGGGGGGTGTACTTAGTAGTATTTCTAGTATACTATACTATGTCTTGTCGTAGTATGTTATATCTTTTTGCTGTATTATGTTATATGGAATTAAACTGTGTGAAATGATAGGACGTTACCTTATATAGTAATACACTATACCTTGCATTTCACTATGTGTTTTTTGCCATGGGTACTGTACTCTGATAAAAACATATATTGTAAGTAAGACGGAAAACCTCGAAACTCTTTGAGCTGCCCCTGACCTCACCAGGTCGGGGCCACATCGGCCAACGCTTGCATGGCCTGCCCCATGGGGCGTTGGAGCAACGACCCTTGGTGTTTCAGGCTGTCATTTAGGGTTGAAAGGTCAACACGAAGCCCATCACGGCTGAATTCTAAAGTCGTTAGAGCATTAAACTAATCCTCGACCGGCCTTCTCTTCAGCCCACCCCAAGAGGAACTACGAATGCCAAACCCAAGCCTCAGCTGTATGCTATACTATACCATACTATACTATGCTATACTTTACTGTACGCTAGTATAATAGGGCATAATATGATATGATATAATGAGATGTATTATAGTGTTATATAATGCACTTTTGACATAATATGGAGTTAATTATAGTATTTTATAATATAATGTTCTACAATATAACATATAGTAAGCTAGTACATAACATGATATAGTTTGATATAATATGATGCAACAAAAATGCGAAATATAATGCAATGAGCTCGTTGAGGACACCGGCCTCTCCTCCATCGGCGCCTGCTTCGAGTGCCCGGCAGGGACCTGGAGTTCCGTGGAGGGCGCCTCCTCTGCGGAGGCCTGCCCTGCCCTCAGAGAAGGCATTTTTCTGCGGTGTTAATCAAGTATTGCCCTAAGTATTAGTATTTTGATTCCCCAACAGCTTGAGCTCTGGGGTCTTCAACCGAAATAAGGTTTGCGGCAGATTGGGGGCAGGTTCCCGGGCGGGTTCCGGACATGGGGAAGGTTCCGGGGAAACGAAGGCCAAATGCACTTAGCAGGCCTTGGAAAATGCATTTGGGTTTGGTCGGTGGCTTCACTCAATTAAAGCCTCGGGAGTGGGCCCAGGGCCACCGAACTCTGGAAACCAAATCAAAGCATTATTGGTGCGATTTTCGCGGTGTGGGGATGGATGGTCTTGAACTGGTATTGAGCTCCAGATAAACGAGGGCCAAATGCGTTTCGCAGGTCTTGTGGAGCTTGCGCGCACGTCAGAGGTTCGAGACTCGCTGTCACTCTCGCGCGATTTGCAAGGCTTGAGAAACCCTGTGCAGCTTGGACACAAGGCGAAGAAACAGACCTGCCTTTGAACCGCTGACCCGGAACGAACTCCAATCTTTGCCCGGAACCTCGTACCTCCCCGCAACTCGCCCCGCCTCTCCGCAACCCGCCTACCGGAACCTGCTGCAGTACCTCCGCCGTAACTGGAACCTGGAACCCACTTCGCACCATGTCCCGAAAGCCTGAACCTCCACATTCCTCGAAACCCGCCGAAACTCGCCCACCTTATGCGGAACCTGGCCGGACCTTCTCCCGAAACCCGCCCCGGAACAACCCCTCCTGCACCGAACCTGCACGGAACCTCCCGAAACCTGCCCCAGAACCTACCACGGAACCCGCCTGCGCGGGACTCGCCCCGGAACTCGCCGCGAAACCCGACCTGGTAAAATCTAGAGCTCAATGCCGTCCCTAAATCCGAAAGCCGTATTGACATTGAAAATGTTTGAGTTTGGTTTCCAATGCCCCAACATGTTTTTTTCAAGGCTCGGAAAACGCATTTACAGCTGTTGCAGCTTTACTGGTGTTCCTGGCCCCAGCCCCCGAACCCAAGCATGTCCCTGCTAACGCAGCCTGGCTTCAACAGCTCAATGCTGTCCCTACGCCCGAAAGTGCAACCACCCAGAAACTGCTCGAATCAGTTCCCCGAGCTCCGACCAAGCCCAAATGCATTTTCCGACGTCTGTTAAACGCTTTCGGCCCTGGATTCAGCAAATCTTGTGCTCAATGCCCGGCCGGGCATGGACAACCCATCTACTGCTCTGTCAGCGCCTACAATGTGAGCCCAACGACAGCCATTCCGCTGTTGGGGATGCTCAATGGGATTATTTTTAATATATTGGTAATAACACTTAGTATTATCATTAGTGTTAATGCTATTATTACTGTTATTAGTAAAATTTCTGTTGCTATTGCTGTTGCTATTGCTATTGCTAGTACTAGTCCTGTTACTATCGCCTTTTCTATTGCTAGCACTACCTACTACGATTACAATTACTTTTAATTTTACTAGCACTATTACTATTACCATTACTACTTGAGAGGTGACGTGTGCAGAGAAGTAGTGTTGCCTGGGGAGCTTTTGGGGGCAGTTTTGAGACGAATTTCAGAGTTGGGTTTAGGGTTTAGGGTTTGGGGCTTTAGGGTTCAGGGTTTAGGGACAATCAAAGAAGACTCTTCAACTGTCAACCATCGAGGTCAGCCATGTGCAGCGGGCATGTGGAGTCAGGTGTGCCGAGGCTGCAATAACTGTAATCTTTTTGCGCGGATGCCGCAAGGGCTTTAAGTGATGATGGGTGCCCAAGCTACCCCACACAATCCACAATCACCTTTGCATGTTTAACTAGTAACTACTAGTTTCGGATGTTGCCTACGACAACGGCTCTAAGTGCAACTCAGTTCGTACTGTTTTAACTAAATCAGTCCGTGATACTATTTTCGCAGCAGGTTGCTGTCATGCTGAGTTGCTATTCTCGGAACCCTCCTCCTCCCACCAGTCGCTCAAGAATTTTCGGCATGCCGCCCCGAATTCTCCGATCGCCTTTGCCCCTGCCTGCGCCTTCGTTTTGCCCCAAGCCTCCAACGCAAAACTCGCGAATCCCAGAGAAGGATCGGTGCGGACCAAAACGTCTGCCAGCACTGCCCAGCGGGGCGCTTCAGCGGCAAGGTGCCTGGCGGATGTCAGAACCCTGAAGTTCGATTGTCCCTTCGGATGGGAAGGAGCAGATCAAATGAGTTTGATCCTCAAGCTGTGAGTTGCGCCAACAGGCAGTGGACTTTCTGGTTCCTTTCCAGGGGCCCTCGGGTTGCCATCAGCACCAGACTTAAACTTTCAATCCCTAGATCCACCACTTAAACCACCCCTAGACCATCCTAAACCCTAAACCCCAAATCCCAAAGACACAGTTCTCCAAGTTAGGTTCTACTTTCGGGTCCCTTTTATAAGGGCTTTGGGGACCTAGCAAGACATCCTCATTTGGAGAACCACCCGTATGTCTTGGTATACTATAGTATATTAGAGTATGTTCTAGTATATTAGTATGTACTTGTACGCTGTAGTATAGTCTAGTATCTCATAGCCGTCCCCTTGAGTCTTCTTCCCTTAGTGAGCAGGTGGGCGCCGATGCGCTTGAAAGCTGTTCCTTTTGTCCACGTGGAACGTGGAGCGCCGTAGAAGGCCCGTTGCAGAGTTCTGAGTATTCCTGAAGTCTTTGGTGTAGGGCATATGAGGTTGGCGGGTATCGTGCCGTTGTTTCACCTCCCGAACAAGGGTCATCGTTTCTTGTTACTTACAGTATGGCATGGCATAGTATAGGTTAGGAGAGTACAGTATGTATAGTATAGGGTTGCATCTCATTTAATAATGCAATATGTTATAACAACATGAAGTATAAAGTAACATAATGCTGCAGGT